AAAAAAAAAAAAAGAGAGAGAAGGTATTTTTAATTTGTCCATTTAGTCCAAAGCCAGGGCTCCAACAGGATCCATTTTCCACTTTTCATTTAATAATACAAAAGTTATAAAAAAAAAAATCACGCGATTAATAACCACAAATCACGAAATAACAAATAAATTAAAAATCTATAATTTACATAATTTAATCTGATAATTAAGAACAATAAACCAAATTATAGATACATAGTATAGTCTGATAACTAAGAACATATAAAAGATTGATGATAATATTAGACAGAAACAATACATCTTTTTAATCATGTTACACATTATCACGCTAGTTAAACAATAATTATCATTAATATAACTTGCGAACACGACTCTGCCAAACACCACATGCAAAGCAGCGACTTTTATACTAGACTACTCCCTCTCTGCTAACGTTTATTTAAAACAGCAACACCTTTATTTTCTTGAGGACAGCAAACTAAGATAACAACAGCCGAGTTGCAGTTCGGCCGGTCACTCGGGTTTCATGGTTTTCCCAACCTCGATCACAAATCGATACTTAACATCGGCCTTCAGGAGACGCTCGATTGCCTTGTTCACGTAATCGGCTGAGATGAGCTCAACATCCGCTGCTATGCCGTGCTTCGCAGCAAAATCGAGCATCTCTTGCGTCTCCTTCAGTCCTCCATTCGCACTCCCCATCACGGATTTCCTCCCTATACATTACATTAACTTCCACTAAGATAATCGTGTTCAAATTTTTTTAAACAGGTAAAAAGAAGAGTTAAATGGCAAGCAAACCTGCAATGATAGGAAAAGCTGGGAGCTCCAGCGGTTTTTCGGGAGCACCAACCAAGACGACCTTCCCGTGAGGCTTCACCAGATTTAGAAACGGCACAAGCGAGTGATTTGCGGATATCGTATCAATTATACCATCCAATGTCCCGGCCACAGCCTACCAAACAAGAACAATAACAGACCCTTCAACATAAGGTCACAAAAAGTTGCAAATGTAGTCCAATTTCACACTTTATTGTGTATAGACAACATGAAGACACACGATACCAAGGTTGCAATTAGATATATGAATTTTAAACGATCTCTTATGGAAAACGACAATAAACATTTTTTAGATTGGAAATGAATATAAGACAAAATTGTAATAAAAGAGGAGGTGATATAAAAATAGTAAAATACTAATTAATAATTATTAGTAACTAACAGTAAGTGAGTCGATGAGTACCAAATTTTAGTTGGTAATATGTCGGAATGACTAGGTTTATTTTAAATTTAGTTGACAAATTTGTGGAGAAAAGAGTGAGATAGAATGAATAGTATATTTTCTGAACATATTTTGTATTGAATCATAACTTCAGTGGAACTAAATTTTGCTAAAACAAATGGAAATTGGAAATACAAAAATTCTATATCCAATTGTTCCCTAAGAAGAATAAGAATTTAGCATAAACCCGAAACAATTAAAAATCTGCTAAAAATTCATACCGACATCTGCTCTGGGTCAGAGCTGAGCACAAACTCATCAACACCAAGATCCTCGAGGGCCTCCTTCTTCTTACTCTCGGATGTGCTTATAACCGTGACCTTGGCCCCAAAGGCCTTGGCGAACTTCACAGCAACGTGACCAAGCCCACCGAGCCCAGCGACCCCGATAGCCATCCCAGGCTTGTCGAGCCCGAAATACCTCATCGGGCTGTAGGTAGTGACGCCCGCGCAAAGAAGTGGGGCCCCCCTGTCGAGAGGCAGGTTTTCGGGCCAGCGGAGGATAAAATGC